CGTGGACGGAGTTTGTTGCCGTTGGCTGGAAGGCAGGGCTTTGTGACCTAATCAAGCCCGCTCGCGCACGCGACGCAGTCTGCGTCTCTCTCGCGCTCGTGCTCTCTGATCACTCTCTAGCCTACTAGGTCACGAAGCCCCGCCTTCCAGCCGACAATCCAGTGATTAAAAGGTACACCATTTACTCTAAAAAGTTGCAAGAATTATAAATCTAATGCTACCCTTTCTGCGAATTCAACATGTTAACTTTTCCAGCTGGATTTATTTCAAATTTATGATATAACAATTAAATGCGTTATGATTTTTTTGTTTGCCGATAATGGCCGTTTTTCAACTGCGAATTCGAATTGTAAACCTTGCTATCAACGTTGGCAGCTTTTGCAATAATTCACAATTCTTTGTAAGGCATTTAATCACCGTCGTTGCGAAAATATCAAGCTGTGACCAAAGTATTTTTTATCTTCATTCAGACATCACCAATTGCATCATCTCTTTGCCAAATGAGACAAGTTTTTTTCGCTTTTCTTTGGACAATGGACAGCAAAGTTGTGATGCGAGAACTAATAGTTAAGGTTCTGAGTGTGCTGTCTCGTTGTAGGAAGATTTTCTGCAAAATCAATTTGTACATTTCTATGGACGCATTTTTTTACTATACATTATTGACATCCGTCAACTTTTTTTCGAAGACTCTGTCCTTATATCTTTACTAAACTGCTGAATATTTTTGATGTCTCCTTCAAAAAGCTGGAGTTAGCGATGTGTCTATGTGCTAGGCGAAAATCGATTTATTGATTGATTAATTATAACTGACAAACTTGCAAGTTTCTGTAACCACGCATATGAGCAAAAGAAATTGCTGAAGTAATTCACTGTACTTCTATCATAAAAGCTTCCAGGAAATTTCGCCAGACATTTGTAACATTTGATGTACCTTCATAGATCACAACTTCGTGCTAGGTGTCCGATCCGGGCGGTTAGAGCCTATTGACTTATCGTTCCCACACCAAGCTTTTTAATATTAGGTCGTTCCGAAAGTAATGTCGCTTTTTTCAAATGAACGCCACATTTCATGGAATCAAGATTTTCGAGAGATCTTAGGAGCATTCGATGCAGCATTTCATCCTCTTTCTAATGGTTGTAATTTCATTGCACAATTTTCATTGAGCTTGCGAAAAATTAACAAAATCTGCAACTCATGCTTTTTGTCATGGTCAAGTTCGGCAATTTTTTAAAATTTTTGTACCTATTCTCCGAAGAGGTACAAGTGGCAGGTAGATAGAGCAAACCCTATAGGACACAGAATAATTTTTTCTTTTCCCTAGCTTGCTTTTTAGAGTTTCTGGAATCAGTCTCAAAATGCCATCAAATTCCATATTTGGTCAACTCAAACCTCACAGAACAGCAACCGGCAAGCAACTCGGGTGTCATTCGACGCAGCTTTTTCTCCTCTTTTTACCAGTTGTTTTTGGTTTTTGATTCATCAAGTTTTCCAAGATAACATCATCATAATTCAGGTTTTCCAGGGCGCCTCCGGCTGTACCCGGAATTTTCGAAAGTTGCTAATCTGAAGCGGTAAACGCTCATTTGCTTTGTAAAATTAGTGTAAAACCATAATCCATTTTTGTAAGTTTCAAAATCCAACGATTTCTTGGTGTTTGATGCATTTGTGTCTGAGACGAGCCTGCTAAAATTCGGTGGTTCCATCAAAAAATCTATACAGAAATTATGACGAGCTCTGAGAAGTAGAAAAAAGTTGTGCTGTTTCCCGTAGGGTTTGCTCTATCCATACATAACCTGGACTTCTTCCGGGGGTTGTTATAGAAATTTAGAAAAATTGTGAAACTTGGTCTTCTCAAAAAGCACCGGTCGCAGATTTCGATACATTTTCGAGAGGTTACTGAATTTTTTGCAGTGGTTATATAACCTTTAGAAAGAGAATGAAATGCTGCATCAAATGCTACCAGAATCTCTTACACATCTTTGTTCCACGAAATGTGGCGTACGTTTGAAAAAAGCGACATTACTTTCGGAACGACCTAATACATTCACGCAAGGCCGAATTTTTGATGACAGCGATTTCGGACCAGAGCATATTTCGCAATATTGAAATTGCGAAATATGCTCTGGTAGTATTTTCTTGCTATTAATGGGTCTCTGAAGCATAAATCTTCTGGGAAATATTCTAAGAGGTGTATATAGGAATTCACTCAATTTGCCCAAGAAGCTTCATCGTAAACTAGGAAAATCAAAAACTTCAGAAAGCATACGACCCACCGGTGGATCGTAGTGTCTAAAGTGGCAGAACATGCACGACCCACCGGTGGATCGTACTGTCTTAAATGTATTATAACAGTAAATTTTTCTTTTTTTGTAGAACACCGATCACATTCTTGTGTACTCATTACGGTAGTTAGCAGTTTTCCGTTTTTGCTTTGATCTCAAGGCAGGTATAAAATCTCTTATCTTATACAAATAATTCTCGATTTTTTTGCTATTTTCACACAAATTTTTTCATATGCTTCAACTTTTTCCTTCTGTAAACTTTCTGCTTAACCTGTCAGGATAAAGGTCTGCAGGTCCTTTACCTGATGTGTAGCGGGGTTACATGAGCCTTACTATAATGTTTATTATACAAGTTATATACAAAAGGGGAAGGGGAAAGGGGAAAGAGGGAACCGGCTCCTGCCGACGGGCGGAGGTCACTGTCCGAGGTTCGTTGTCTTAGGCCAACCTCCATCGCTAGTAGCTGTTGGGTCATAGCTGCATCCCGACATCTCCATTCCTTCAGAAAGCTCGTCCTCGAGCTTGTTCAGCTGTTGTTGAACGTCTTCCGAGTTGCGTGCGTAAGGAGTACACGTGTTACGGCGAGACCATAGAGAACTTCGATTTCGGTACATTATCTTCAGACGGACTGAGTGGAGGAGTTGGTTTAGGCGGATTGGATAACCAAACATCGACCTTCACCTCATGTCAGGATAAAGGTCTGCAGGTCCTTTACCTGATGTGTAGCGGGGTTACATGAGCCTTACTATAATGTTTATTATACAAGTTATATACAAAAGGGGAAGGGGAAAGGGGAAAGAGGGAACCGGCTCCTGCCGACGGGCGGAGGTCACTGCCCGAGGTTCGTTGTCTTAGGCCAACCTCCATCGCTAGCAGCTGTTGGGTCATAGCTGCATCCCGACAAACCTTAACCTCCTCGTGCCTCTTCTAAAAATCGTGTTTCAAATGCAAGCTTGCACTCTCTTCAACCTCACAAGATGAACAGAACTTGTACTTTAAGTGAGTATGGCAAGACGACAGAAAACCGGTTGCTTGGTAATTGTAGCAGAATTTACTTTCGTTTGATATTCGTCACTCCCCGCTTCATTTCTTATATAACTCTTGCAGACTCTTGTGCGACTTCTGTGCAAACTAAATCAATCGATATTGGTTGGGAGTATTTCTATGTATTCTTTTGCAAAATTGAAGCTTCTTTTTGGTCCCTGTATGGCTCGAATTTGTCTTGTTGTTTGTGTGCTCCTCCTTCTCATCCTATGATCAAACGATTTTGGAATTTTTTCAGATTCAGTACCAATCAGGGCTCGGCATAGGTGGCTCATAAGCAAGCTATTGATATCGTTTTTGGGACAAAAAGAAAAGGGGATATGGTTTTTCTGCGGTCTGAAAAAATTTTAGGGTTAGGATTTTTTTACTCGAAGTGTCCGATTTTGGGTCAAAAGGGACTTCGTAATTTTGCGAAAGTCGAGGGTACTTCGTTCTACATATTCAGAAAGCCACCTCGTTTCGAACTCTTAGTACCAATTACCATTTGCGGAAAAGTAGTTTTCATAACGGTCTTTTTTATAATTTCTCCAGATTCGACTGTTCATTGACTTCAACTTCTATAAGAATAGTATCAGAATAAGTAAAATCAATCTATCTTGCTAACTAAAATTCGCTTAATCAACGCAATTTCATTTTACTCTTACATTCAAATTTTCTTGATAGAAGAAGCTAGGTAGGTTGCAAGCTGTCAGATTTTTGATGGAGTGAAAGGACCTCACAGCCTTTTTATGCAAAAGTGAGACAAATTCCAAAAATTTATCAAACTCATCATGACTCTCTGAAAAACGCATACGATGTGCGATCACCGTTGTTCATCGTGCATTGCATTCCTCTTAAAACAAAGATGATAACTTGATTTCTTTATTTTGGCAAAACTTTACCTTTTTTACTAAGTAATCTTTACTTCGTTCTCAGTTTTACCATTTCCCTGCTAGTTTCTCATAAAACTTGGCAATACAGATTGTTCAAAATCATACCTCAACATTTTTTCAACTACAGATACAAGAATGAAAATTTAAAAAAAAAATTCCACCTCTCCAAAGTAGTTGTTTTGCTTTTGACATAAAAAGATGACACATTAGATTTTTTTTCGAATCCATGAAGCGATAGTACTGTACAGGTGAAGGTACTGTAGCACCACTAACTTTTTTGGGCTTTTTATTTCACAGGAAATGCTAATACTGAACATTTGAACGAAATAGTCAAATCTATTTCTTCCATGGTAGTATCTTACAGCATTCTTTTTCAAACATCGTTATGCAGTGCGTTTTGATCTCGCAAAAAGAAGTTTAACTATAATCTGAAAGATTTATGTGCGGATGAATAGTGTTCTAAGGGCTGTATTTTCATTAGCTTTCTTTAGGTCATAACTACTCTCTGTTTCAATGGAGTTGGCGGCTGGAAGACGGGGCTTCGGTCGATTAGACAGCACGTACGCGAGGAAATGCAGAGCCTTCTCTCCCACGCTTACGTGCTCTCTAATCGATCAAGTCCCGCCTTCCAGCCGCCAACTCCAGTGAAACAGAGGGTATTTTGAATATCCAAATTCTTTTGCCTAATGGTAGTATCCAAAATTAAATTTTCCTCCTCCTTTTGAATATCTATTTTTGCGGCATTGCACTCGTCAAATTTGACCATGAAATTCTCAAAAAAATTTGTGCAAATCGTTTCAGCGGGTCAAGGCATGCGGGAAGCGAACGTCTTTCTCAGTCTATTAGTATCCCTGTGCTCTTATGCGTCAGCTCAGGATTCTTACGATCAAGGGCTCCAACTTCCCACAAGTACTGTGGAATTATCGATGCAAAATCACGATCAAGTTCTAAACAGTTCTCAGGTTCACTAATTTTCAGTAGAAGTCGCTGGTATCGCTAATATCAAGCTTCAGGTTGTATTTGTGGCCTTTTGTGCTGATTGGTGTCCATTTTCCCGGCGATTAAAACCGATTTTCGAAGAATCAGCGCGTGTTTTCAAACGAGATAATCCGAATGCTAGTGTCGTATGGGCTATTGTCGATAGTGTTCGACAGGTGAGTATTGTTTTCTATTTTTTTGAAAAGATCTGGTTGTTTCAATGTTTATGTCCTAGTAGATTAATAAATTTGTGTTCTTGCATTACCGACAACATTCGCGCGTAAACAGTGGCATAATGCGCTCCAAGGCTATTTTCTACGCGCAAATCGCAAGCAAGTTGCCACCATTTTACAAGCATTACATTTGTTTCCGCGCAACTGTTGTCGTCACCGCAAGTGCACTACATTAACCGTCAAATCTACTAGGCTATGCACTCTCAAGTTATATACGGTCCGTTACCTGACGATAATTTTCGTTGTAGACATCGCTAACCATTTTTCAATTTTTTTGTTTTTTTTTGTCTCGCAACAGGTTTATGTGCTAAAACTGCAATAATTGTATTAGCGGGTGGAACTATTACAGCTTTAGTGTAGAATTTTTGCAAAGATAAATGACTGGTAAAGAAAACTGCGACGCAAAGTTTCAGAAATACATAGACACAGCGGAAGGGGAGTGGCGGGGGGGAGGGGGGCGAAGGCCTGTATAAAGCCAAAATTATATTTATTCAAATCCTCGTTTAAACTTAGTGGGTGGTATTGAGAGGAGGTCTACTACTGTTGTCGAAACAATATTTTTCACCCTTCGTTCCAACATTTGTGGGCGGAATTCATAAAATTCGTAGAATTCACACTGAAGAATTCATAGATCACCAGAAAAGGTGAAAATCAAAAATTGAGTTGGTATAATGTCTCCTGGGTTAGGTACCTTTTTTAATCTTTCTGCATAAATTCAGAGCGCACCAATTGTTGAGAACCAGCTTATTTGGTAGCTCTGTCTACGAATTTGCTATTGTATAGTCTTTAATTGTTTAGGCCGACGTCGGTGATAAGTACTATGTGAATAAATATCCAACCATGAAGGTGTTCGTCAATGGAGAATTGATACAGAAAGAGTATAGGTACGTTCATCGATAAAATCAGAAAATTCAACCAAATTTGGGGCTAATAATATAAGAATTGACGACCGGTACCAACTACACCTTGTTCAACTGGCTTGGCAGCTGGAAGGCTAGGCTTCGTGACCTATTTAAGGCTAGATAATGATCAGAGAGCGCGCGCGCGGGAGTGACGCAGACTGCGTCGCGGGCGCGAGCTGCCCTAATTAGGTCACAAAGTCCCGCCTTCCAGCCGCCAAGCCAGTTGAAGCAAAGGTTATATGCTGATTTTATACAATTATCCCTAAGTTTAGGTCCACCCGATCCGTAGAGGCACTCACTGCTTTTGTCAAGTATCAATTATCCACTGCTATTAACGAGTTTGCCAGTCTCCAGCAACTCGAAGCCGCCATGGATCACACCAAACGAAATGTTGTCGTTTGGGTAAAACGAGGAACCGAGGAGTACGCAAATGTCAAGGTAAAGAGGAATCTTCAATATCCGAAAATTATTCTACAAATGCAAAGAAAGCTCTGTCTTTTCTTGTTTCCTTCTTGAAAGTGGTACGACTAACTCCTAGTTCCGTTTTGTTTGAAATTGTGCTTGCTTTACTTTCCATGGCGTCTTTAATTAGCCCAGTACAGATAGATCTACCCCCCCCCCTAACAAACCTGTATTTTCTTTATTAAGATTGAAGCTTGAAAAGATAGAATCATTCATTTGTATGGATTAATTTGTAAACAGATCCCAGCAGTAAGATGACTCGTCCGCAAAAAAAAATAAAGGGAGCAGGGCTGGAAAAATGAGAAGAATAAAAATAGTTCGTCTTTTTTGCAATAGTCCAACACTGAATTACGAGTCCCATGTTTAGCGAAATGGTCTTTTCTTTTTTAGCATCCCCATTAAATTTTTGGAATTGAGTTTTGTCACGCCGTGATTCACTCATTCGGTGCATCAAAAATGTCATGGATTACATCGTTTTTTTTCTTGCATATAAATTCCATTTGACAATGAAATAACTATGATAAGGTGATGGAACAGAGTCATTTTTTTGTATCAATGCTTATTTTCGCAAATTTCTTATGTTACTATGAGCCATCTTCACAAGTAAGCGAAAAATGCAATTTGAACAACATACAAATCAAACTGATCTGTAGTTCATGAAAAGCTTCCAATATTTTAATTTTTTCCGTAAAAAACACTTATCATTTTACTAGAACCGAGGGTTAATATAATTTTCACGTATATCTCATTTGTTGCTGTCAGTTCTATAGAAATTACAATTTTCAGAAAATTGCTTCGCTTTTGAGAGAAGAGTGTACATTCTGGGTGACAGATGAAGCCCTATCTACTACAGTGGCAGAAAATAAATTATCTTACTACGATCTGGATAGTACAGAAGAGCAAAGGGTAAATCGTGTCTTTATAGTTTTTTCAGCTACAAACTGGATAAAATATTGCGATTTTAGTTTACTGGAAAGCTGCTTGATTATGATTTCCTAAAACAATGGGTTACGGATAAATGCATACCACTTGTGAGGTAAGTGTGACGGCGTGATAGGCCCTCGTTCATTTGCTGTATGTTTTTATCTCCAGAGAAGTGACTTTCGAAAATGTTGAAGAGCTTACCGAAGAAGGCCTTCCATTCCTATTGTTCTTTAGAGATCCTAAGCGAAGGGATCAGGACAAAATGTTTACAGAACAGGTTTGTGCTCACCGCATCCGTGACATCTTTTTATGTACCCCTCAAGTGATTCCTCGCGCTTTAGTGGGGAGAATAGAAAATGCTTAATCGCGGGGAACTGATCTAGTTAAACGCAGAATTCCGCAGAAGTTTGTGCTAATGGAGGAGCTTGAGTTTTAAGATAGAAATCTAACAAGTTCTCATTCAGAAGTTTGCTTATGGGAGAATCTGCTAGAGTGTTTTGAAAACCACAGCGCAGAAACGGCAAAAATGAGCGTCTCTCAAAGTCTTTCATTACCAACGTGAATGAAAAAGAAGCAGATCTCGCCAAGAGTGGAGGCTCAGATTCGTTGAGGAACCATCACGACACGCTGCGAAAGAGCGGAACTAATCAGAGACAGTGTCCGGGCAAGGTTGGAGTCGCGGCTCGTACGATGCAAGCCACTCCGGGGGCGGGGGGGGGGGGGGGAGAGGCAGCCCTAATTGTCGTGTTACCTGGCGCGGTACTGTATATCGCGTCCGGACCTCTCCTGCCTGGCACGTTGCTAAGCCAGAGAGTAGTCGCGCACACAGTCGTATGTGCCTCTCAGGTTCTGTCATTGATTTCTATTATATTGTCGTGCTGGTAACACCTTCAAGCTCTTGCAAATAAATTGCGATTACCGGTTCAGAATGCGCAGCATGCGCCCCATATCTCAATTCACATGTGCGTACGCGGCGTACACCACGAATCTGCGAAGTTTCACTCAACCCTTCAAGCGGTTAGGTCTTGTTCACCTTTTGGTTTTTGAAGACGCGCAGCTAGTAACTGTGGTTTGTCATGTAGATGGATAACACCAGCGGGAGTGGAGAGAGATTTATAAGCTCCTGCAAGACGAAGGCGGTCGATTCAATGCGCAACGCGGCTGCGACATGGCTGCGTCACAGCCGAGTCACAGCCGACTCACAGCCGCGTCACAGCCACGTCACCTCGAATCAACCGCCTTCGTCTTGCAGGAGCTTATACCTTTCCGTAAGCGCTTGAGACCACGGTTGACTCTGTGGACGAACACAGAACAACACGTACGGAGATTAAGTTCATGAGGGTATCGGCAGCATGCGAGAACGGCTCTCCTCGTGCCTTTCTTGTTCTAAATAGTAGTGAAATATTACAGTATTTTTTTTTTCAGTGTTTCTGTTGTTGTCATGAAATGTGATTCAATCTAGTCGGGTCTGTGATTGCTGTTGTATCATGCGGGTTAGGAATGAAGGCGTCGAGTGAAGCGCTAGGTGCGTACACTAGCGTAGACGCGCAACATCCCAGAGCTAGTTGTTGCCGTGCTAGGCTGACGAGCATTAGGATGAGGAGTGTTGAGCACACCGAGTCGCAACAGTTGGGTTGTGGGATATCAGTGCCTTGCAAAAGTAGGCCCTTGGACACTTCAACGCACAACTGTGAGTCCATAAGGTTAGAAGAGAAGCGGGATACACTTGGGAAGCCGGGAAACCCAGCCCTAATGGGGAGTTGGGTCAGCTTGCGATTTACCTTTTCGCGACAGAGTGCGCATGCCGCAACGTTTAAGATCACGGGGTCCTGCAGCCACTTTGCTCTTGGCTTGTCGGCCAGACCACTGGTCCAAACTCCATATGGAGACCTTTGAAAGAGCCTATTCTTGTCGTATTCGCTTTCTAAGGGGATTTCTTGACTCAGTGTAGCGCTTAAAGGCAGTGTCCAGGACAAATGTGGGCGCATGGATTTTTTGCCTGAAAACTGACGAGGGAGCCCCACCTAGGGCATGACCGAAACGGCAGTGTAAACCATTCATTCACGGCTGAGAAATCCGTCCCGAAACAGTCTGCGCCTGCGCCGCGACCGTAACACTTAGTATGGTCCCAGCGCGAACGTAACGTTAAAGTGAGCGAAGTCATTTCCGGGTTACGGTCACGGCACAGGCGCGAATGGTTTGGGGTCGGGTTTCTCAGCCGCAAATGATTCATCTGCGTTGCCATTTGGGCAGTGCTTTAGTTATGGCCCCCTTATAAATTTCCAGAGGAGTAATCATGCGCTTAAGTTTGCCTGGACATTGCTCTTGAGTCGAACTTGTGTTTTTGCCTGGGCACTGCCTAGACGAGCTGAGTTGGGAGCATTCTCGACATAGAAGCAATTTTTTATTTATGCACGTACTTTATCTAGTTGGTAGGTTTCTTGGAGGGGTGGGGGGTGGGGTACAATTTTCTGTACCAAAATTTCAGCAATTCCAATTCCAAGAAGCCGCTGCCTTTGAGGGATTTGTCGAAAAGGAGATTGTGAACCACATAAATTGCAAACACTTTAGGTCATTCGTGAGCTCGGTGATCAACGTGCCTCTATCAACCCTCTTCTGGCCGATGGACACAAATTCGCTCATCCGCTCAAACACTTGGGTAAAACGGCCAAGGTAGTTTTGAAGTACGGTACATACGATTGCAACATATTTGCGGAAGTTTAGGACCTCCCAGTGCTAGCAATCGACTCCTTCCAACATATGTATGTTTTCCCAGATATGTCACAACTGACAGTACCCGGCAAGTTGAGAGAGGTTGGAGAAGATATTTTTGACGTTTTCAAGAATCTTGCAAAAACCATTAAATGAACAATAATATGTTTTATAGTTTGTGATGGACCTGCACTCTGGCAAACTTCATAAAGAGTTCCATGAAACCTTGGACCAGAAGATGATTGATCTCGCCAAATTCAAGGCAGAAAATGGTATCACAGACGAGGATCTTGATGACAACAGAGAGGCCGGTGTAAGTTCTCAACCTTCTTTTTCTTGGAATTTCCTGCAAATTTTTCATATGTTTATCACTGGATTCATGATCATAAACTTAGAGCAGAGCTGCACAAATACATGATTGTAACTATCTAGATATACAAAATAGTAAACAAAAATGTAACCACACATAATGTAAGATCGTAATCACTACAGTAATGTCGTAAGGCCTAAGGCATACCTAACGCGATTCCAGTCGCTGCGCGATATGGCACTGCAACAACTCTTCATAACTATTCGTAAACGCAATTTGCTCAGACCAGATTTGTTACTTTTGCAAAAACTAAGCTACGCGCCTATGCAATTAACACTAGCGTACGATTAATTTGTAGACATCTGGTAAAACGCCAAATCGCGTGGATATAGTCATTTGACGCTCGCTAAGCGCCTTAGGCCTAAGGATCAAATCCAAACTAATTGAATGAAGACAAGAAATGAAAATCTACTGTGAGAGTAAGACATAACTTGTACATTGAACATAATCATTTCCAGAAAATGCCGGCTGCCCGACCCGGAGATACAACTCCACCACCATCGGTGTTCAAACAATTGAAGCCAAGCGAAAAGCGGTATTCGCTTTTGCAAAAAACGGAATTGTAAATTTACCTTTCAAATATGGATATGTAAAGGCTTATCTAAAAAGACAATTTGTTGTTATGGTAACTATGATTCTCGATAGAAAATGCGGAAGATGGAATCTATCTTGTTTATACGATAAGTGCTTTGGTAATCGATTTCTAGTTCCGAAGACGTAATTGTGAAAGTTTTCCTTAGTTTATGCATGATTCATTATCACTGTTTGCGAGTATTTTTTTGTCAAGGCGTATATTAGTTGGCATTTAGTTAAGCCTTGCAGGGTGCATAATTTCAAAATCGCTACTCCGTAATTGTTTGCGTTGCCATTGGGCGACCCTGTCGCAATATATACTTATCTACATTTCTGTTTTGTGGTGTTCTCGGGTTGTGATTCTATAGAGGTCGTGAAGTACGATATTCTGTGATCAGCACTATGTGATAGACTTTTTAATAAATCTTTTTATGTGTACTGAAGAGTTTATAGAACACAGCGGAAAAACCTGAAACGGGTTTATAGTTTCCCGAAACTGTGCCGGCGTAGTTCCAGAGCCGTGGTGAACATCCGCGCACGACGTCAAGCGACGGTGTAAAATACTCACCATTTAAGGCCGCGCGCGTGTGACTGCAACGCATTTGCAAAACAGTTGCAGATATGAAATAATTAATCAGTGTAGCTGGAAGCAACATCGTGATTGAGTGCATTCACATATCGATGGAAACCAAAACAAAAGATCTCTATGTGGTGTCCAAGCACGCGCCAGTAAGGTTCTCCCGATCGCCTCGCCGGGCCTTGCGCTGCGTTTGCGTTTCAATGAGGCAATTTGCCAGCCTTCGATCGCACCCTTCAAAGCCCGTCGTTCCTCTCTAGATCCTTTATAGTTTATTTTGTGCTCTTATAGATCTAGTGTTACTCCGTCCAATGTTATGTTATCCTAATAGTTTGGTTCATTATATGTCTTTCACCAGTTTTTTTTTAAGCTGTGGTAAAACCTGTGAGTGTTAGAGGCAAGCTAGTCCTACAATGGACGCATACAGTTTTTACTGTTAAAGGCCGATTGCAGATTATGTTTTCCGTGAAACTGATCTGTTTTTCAGGGTACAAAACATATTGGTCATTTCGTGAACTGCATGTAAACAAATCCCTATGCTTGTTTCAAGGCTTTGATAAGTTTTTCAATTATTAGGTCATGAAAAAAGTTCCTGGGCACTTGCGAAAATTTTTTTCAAGTCGCTGTAACTTCAAGCAGATTGATTCTTTTTTGAAGCTACAAACTTTATTGCAAAGATAATTTTGTCCACAACATATTTTTGCCTTGCTGGCTTTTCAGCATCTCACTGCGGTTCACCAGCATGTGCAGAAGGGAAAAAGTTTGTCGCGAAAAGTGGCCTATTTGTGCAGAATTATCTCAGGCATGATGAGAGCTAGAGAGCTCAGATGCTGTAGTTATGTAGAAGTCTGTTGGGGCTGTTATGTAGACTACTTAAGTCCCCGAGCGACCACTTACAAAAAATTTCTCCAGAAGATTCAAAAAATCGACCATTTTTTGTCCCCAAAATTGCACCATTTTTTGATTAAGCGACTTTGAAGTCTTCTCGTTCTCCATAGGTCAAACCAAATTTTGATCAATGCGAACATTGCTGAAGTAATGCCTTGCACATCTTCGGACCTATCATCCAGGCGTGGCGATCCCCGCAAAAGCGACGCCAGCTGCGAAAAGAGTTGCAGTCAGAGGCAAGTTCGACAGCTTGTAATTTCTGAGGCAAATCGCAAAACTCGAGTGCAGCTGCGGGTCAGAAACTTCTCACAGGCCATCCATGATGATTTGGACGGAATTTCTTGAATTACACAAAAAAAAATGGCTATAGGAAGAAAAATTGTGAAACTTTTATGATTGGAGTGATTTACTATTTTGACGCGCAGATCAAGCACCTTTTGGCACCGATAAAAATCAGAAGCGGTTTCGAAAAGCTTAGGCTTCCCTCTACTGAACAGTATAGGAAATTTGGTGTCGAAGTCCGACCCAGTGCTGAAAAAATGCGTTTGAAATTGAAATTCCCGAAAGTGCTCGGGAACTTTCTTTACAAACTGATACTTGTTGAGTAACATAATGATTGATACAGCTTGAAAGAAAGTGGTCAAAAACACAGCACGAAACTGACTGCAAAACTGACATTGGATGAGAACCGGCCATAGTGTGTATTTTCAATACCGGGGCCGAAACGAGCCAGAAGGTGCCGGACATCAAGTGAGGCGGAGATCGTAACCTGAAAATGTCTAAGTAATGCCTTCGCGAAATCAGCGCGAGGCTGAAGCGAGGCGGCCGCAAGAATCCAAGCCGCGCTGGTTTTGACAATCGCGCTAACAATGTATGTTTCTTACCCGAAACACTTGCAGATGAGCAGAGGAATTCTCGAAATGAGTTCGCAGTACATCACCCCGCAGTGCTTCATTGGCCGTTAAACTTCTTCACAGCATCAGCAATGCATAAACCTGCCATTGCTGTGCAAATCTGGCTTTTATGCAGGAGATAGCGCAATCTTGTTTTTGCCCATTTTATGTCTCCCTCATTTCTCCATTATCGTTTTTGTTGATTTTTTTCACCAACTTTCGACTTCCGGTTATTTCCAGAACCAAAATGGGGAAGACTTGCTGTGTTTGCTTTGATTGATCATGCTTCCTAGGTTTTGTCATTTGAAGAACTCTCTTACGATAGAAGTTCGTTGGGTCAAAGTGGCGACTCGGAAGATAATATATACCAATGGATAGAGCGTAAAGCGCTGCCTTCAATATTTGCAAGAGTTTTTTGAATGGAGTTATGGGCTTTTTGGTATATATAATGGAAGTGTGGTCCAGAAAGGAAATAATGACCTATCTATAAACAACATGGTCGGAAAACACTCGAAAACGTTCGAGTGAGCTCAAATTAGACCTACAATGCTTACTAGATGGTTTGCTCAAGTCTGTATATTTTTGTGTAGAAAGTATCGTAATTTTGCGACTCAAAATGCATGAAAATTTGGCGTTAGAAAAGCTCTAACTAACTTAACTAACTTTTTTCAGAACAACGCGTCGCAGATATACATAGAGGGTATATCTGAGATCAGCGTTTTAAGCTCTATTCATTGGTATAGATCACCTTTCGAATCGCCACTTCGACTACGCGGACTTCCCTTGTTAGTAGAGAAAAAAGCAGATAATGTGCAAAAACTTGCAAGTGCTCATCCGTTATGATCATATGTCGAGTGGTAATATGAGACTTTTGGAATTTTTGCACCACAGGGTTGGGCCAGACTGCGCTAGGCAAGCGGCGTACGCGACGTACGCAGCGTACGCACGGTATGTTTCATCATATTGAGACAGCTGTTGATGATGAAGATGATGATGATGAACTGCGCTCTATCCTATCTCGACTCGCATCTAACAACACGAAAACCATAGTATTAGGTGATATCAACTTGAGCGGTGTAGACTGGAAAATGAAGAAAACTAAAACGCTTTGCTCCCGTAAATACCTAGACCTATGATTTTCTTGAGATGAACCAAGCAGTTACGTTGCCTACACTGGGCAACTCCATTCTGGACATCGTTCTTGCTTCTCCAGGCCTTGTTTGCTTCGAAGGGACTTTACCTCCCCTTGGTTGTGCTGACCATGCAATAGTCAAATTCACCTTGAGAAAGCCAAAAATCAAGGAATGCACAAATATAGTGCGTGATTTTGATTCTGCTGATTTTAATACCATTAACAGAGAAATATCTGCCGTTAATTGGTTCCAATTATTTGATGGCTATGTTGATATTGATGATGTCTATTCAAGATTTCTCGCAGACTACAGGGTGTCCCAAAAAAATGTTAACACTGTTTGATCGTTAATAATTCCCTTGCTTTCAGGTCTTTCGCCGAGCTTGAGGTACCATTCTGTAGAGCGAGGTTCAACTTAGATTTATATTATGGAGCGAATCACCGTTCGTTCTTCGTTTCTGTAGGGTTACAATAAGAACTTTCAGCATGAGAAACAGTTGCGAAATATGCCATCTGACAGAATTCTTTTCAAAAGATCCAAAAAAAGGTGTAGTAGGGTTTTCGCGCACGCTGATTCCACTACAGAACTTTCTAGAGCGTTTCAGCTTTTTTGACGGCGTAACCACATTTTTGACACATTCTGGGAAGTCAGTTATTACACTTTACCTAGGACAACTTTGAAAAGCATCATAGTAAAGTGGGAATTTCATGTTCGAAATCAGCGGCTTCCATTACCATAGTGCAAAACATTTTGGCTTGTTTGGCTCTGTTGCGAGGCAGAAAATGGCCTTTAGCGACATAAGATTCTTGTCGACTAATCTTACAGTAACAAAGTGCGAGCGGTGATTCGCTTCATATTTAAATCTAAGTTGATCCTCGCTCTACAGAATGGTGCCTCAAGCTCGGCGAAAGATTCGAAAGCAAGGGAGTTATTAACGATCAAACAGTGTTAACATTTTTTTGGGACACCCTGTATATGATTAGATTGAAAATCACGTCCTACTTAAAAGGCGTCACGGTTCTGTTATCAAATATCCTCCTCATATCCTGAACCTTCTACATCAAAAGAAGAGACTTTTTCTATCTAATATTTCCGCTGACTGTGAACAATACAGAACTGTTTGTCGGACTCAATCTCATCATCTACGACGTTTTTGGGATTACAAACAAAGAAAAATGGCGAAGGAGAATAATATGCGCGCTTTGTTTAATATGATGAGTTATCGTATGTCCAAATCCAAAGTTGGTACCACTATTCTCGATGATGCCGGACACACTCTACTCTCATCTCTAGTCAAGGCTAATGCTTTGGCTGAAGGTTTCGCAGGTGCTTATACCAGCACTTGCCTGCAAATCCCCCAGGTTGACTCTTTAAGCGGTAATGTGTTTCCCAATCCAGTTTTCTCGCATACTGAAGTACACAAGCTTTTGAAAGCAATTAAACGCTCAATGTCGTGCACTTCCGAAAACATACCTGGTTTTTTCTACAAGAAATGCGCTAAAAGCCTTTCCTTGCCTCTAACGCACATCTTTAACATTTCC